CTCCTCAAACTGTCTTGTCAAGAAAAATCTCTTTTTCTTTGTAATTTGTTTAATATTGAACTTATACTGTCCAACACCTTCATATTACCATAATGCCATCACTTTCTTATTTGATAAGAAATCAGAGATAAAAAATAGGTTTTTGGATTTCAAATGAAAATTTATGATTGACATGTGAGATTTAAACTTCGATGTAAACTAAATTTAAAGCAAACCCGCGTCGTAATCCAGTCTTTGTCAATTAAGTATACTGCGTTTAGCTTCAATATATTGATATTACTATATATATTGATATACACTTCATATATATATACTTCAATATATTGATATACTATATAATATAAATCTCTAAATTGCAATACAATGACAAAGTTCAACGACCTATTGACAAGGTTTACCTGTACGTGGCGGGCTGTCGGGCTGCCGTGACGTGACAGGTCGCATTGTACCCGGTGTCGATACAAACGCCCGTTAATGCGAAACGATCGACTTTGCGAACGCGACGCCACGCGGCTACAAAAACATTTCCTGTTTTACAATATTAATTCATTTACTCCGCGTCATGTTTTTACAGTCTAAAGGTATCTATGACAGATAACAGATACCTATTTTTCGAGTTTACATTGAGATTTCGGGGTAAGAGTTACTTCGATCAGCATCAGAGACACTACAGTAGAGTGTGGGTCTAGTCCAGTAAATTACTCCATATCGTTCTATCTTGGGCTTTTTGTTTTCAACCTTTAAATCGAGATGTTATAAATATCATCATCATTATCAACTTGCCCTTATCCCTACGGAGGGTAGGCACAGTATGTGCTCTTCCATACATTTCTATCAGCCGTCAAATCTGAATCCACTCCCTTCTTAAGCATATCCTCTTTTACACAATCCATACTTTCCTCAGTCTTCCTCTACCTTTGTAGCCATCCAATCTTAACACTTTCTGGTTTATGTCTTCATCGTCTCGTCGCATAAGTCCATACCACGCTAACCCTTTGCTTCTCAAATTATCCACCACTGGCGCTACTTTCAAACTTCTAACATACACATCCTCTAAAAATATCGTCATTAAGAACTGGAAACAAGAGCCCTTGTTTCCAGTTCTTAAGTTACTTCGATGACATTTTATTAAAAAAGGGGATAAGATGCTTATGAATTAAATAGAATAAATGGAATAACTAGAAATTTTCCAACAATTTAGCACAAAATTGTTCTTTAGTACCATCATCTTCACTACCATCTTTTACCCCTAATCTAATAACCACTGTATCATTCGACTAACAACTAACATTTTGAATAACATCCGATAACAAAAAATCTATATAAAAACTTGTTTCTAAGCAATATTGCCAGGAATAGGAAGTATGCGATAAAAGAGGCATACAAAAAGTTGGTAACACTCAGCGAGCACGCTGCAGTGGCGTGACGTCAGCCAGCGATCAATGGACTGACGTCGTAACGAAAGGACCCCTCACCCCCATCCCTCATGAGGGGGTTCCGCCCGGACACGTCTTTGCAAATCTTATTCAAAACAACGAATAAACTTTAATTGCGGAAGCATGTTTATAACTAGTTACACAGATGATTTATTAGCATTTAGTATTTTTTAATATTATTAAAATAACCATAACGATTCAAAAGTTTTCTATACATACATACAAAGTTCCCATTACTTTACACAAATATGTAAAAATGTCCCATCCAATCTGTTTGGAATAAAAATAAAACAACTTGTTTTTCAAGTGGCAGTGTAAACCGACTGTTTATATTAATATTCGATCAGAAAATTAGATTCAAAGTTGATGATGACTACAATCAATTATACGAGTACCATATAACGGACTACCTTTGCCTCGCGACATCGTTTGCGTGGAATTAAAAAATACAGTAAATAAAGCTGTATCTATGATAAAAATACTTTTAAACCGGAAACGAATTTTATAATCAAATAGGTTTTAATATTATTCGTTACAGACGAAAATACAAATATTTTATTTTTTTAACATTAGTATGGATACAAGTGTTGCAAGAGGATCACACTAGTGCGTTATCAGTCCTGTTAACTGACGTCACGAGTATCGGAAAACCCCAAATCCATTTTTGATGATTAAATTAGTTGTAGGTACATAAGGGTCGTGCACAAACACAAATTAGTGCAGTAACTTGTAGTGCAAGTGAGCTTGTAATATTCCCAACAAGCTATCGCCCGCGACTTCGTCCGCGTGGATTAAAAAAAAGTAAAAGTGAGTAGCCTATGTGTTCTTCCAGACTATCCTCTACATCTATACCAAATTTCATCGAAATCCACTCAGCCGTTTAAGCTACAAACTCTAACAAACATCCATCCATCCATCTAAACTTTCGCATTTATAATATTAAGTATGAAGTATGATTATGAAGGCAAGAAAATTAAAAAAATACAATAGTTGACCCAGTTTAATAATACCTATACTCCATTAAAAGTAACTACAGAAACATGACATGGTACACAAGATATAGGAAAATGCAGATATTTAATGTATTTTTAAATAAGCTTTAAAATTGTTACATTTATGAATACTTTTATAAGATCGTAAAAAAAATCATGTAAGTGACACAAAGTACCAGGCAATCATAACAATACAGAAGTTACAAGTACAAGAAAATATGAAAAACGCAAGTTTTGGCAATTAAACGGGCGAGTACACTTCCCACATACTTCCGGTAGAACTCTGAATTATATAAGCTGTTGAAAGAGCGGGGGAAGGGACGCCCTACGAAGTGTATCGAACGTCGCACCTCTCGCTCGCACAGCGGCCGTCTCCCTCACACCTATTACACTCAAATAGGCTGCCTACAAAAAACGTTACACAGGATAGCGATATTAGAGCGGATATTAAAATAGAAATCGGATTTTACGTACAATGTATGTATTTTTAAAGTGAAATTATGTTAAGTATTTTAATGGAATTAATTTTTTTTTTTTATTATTTAGTGTTGAAGGCTTCATACTAACATACTAATACCATATTATAAATGCGAAAGTTCTAATACAGCTTAATGAATTTCATTGTTTTCGAAAGCTGCTAAGTAAACTTTATTATTCCGCATGTTGTGAACATAAGCTAGTAATATAACTTTGTTATGAATGTTGGTTCCTAAATACCTGCAAAGCTAATCAATGAAATTCACACTTACGGGGGATTTTTTTTAATCCTGTAAGAAAGAAGTTAAGGGAAAAGCTAGGATATTGTAATTTTTGTTACAAACTAGAGCAAAATCAGTATAATTTAGACATATAGAAAGGATTACCAACATATAAACATTATCAAACGGGAAAGATGGTAAATCCTGCCACTAAGTTACAATTAACATGTTTGAATTCATGCTTCTAAACATATGTCATTCAAACAAAGGGCATGTTCATAATTAATTGAACATCAGAGATAATGATGTCTTTTTTTTAATACTAAGTCATCACCTCACTTGTTTTATCCCACTCCTGCAGGGTTATGAAAGTTGGGGTATTAATGTTGGGGTTTAATTTTATAGCATGTAACCAACCATATTTGAGAGTTCATATTTATTTTATATAGGTATTTTTATTTTAATATTTAATCTATTCAATATAAACTGTACATAACATTTTGGATAATCATTTCTCACTTGACACTCCCTTATTTACAAAATTCATGATTATCTAAAAAACCTCTTATGTGTTTAAGGGTCAAAACATACTAGCTGATAAAAACTTGAACTATTAGTTTTAGAAATGACAAGTTGAATGTAAAGACAAAATTGCTGTGGTTCTTCAGAAAACTGAGTTGGCTGGAGTTTAACCATGACCTGCCCTGAGCAAAATATGCATGGGGTTCCAAACCATATGTCGTACTATAAACAAAATGTGTATTGACAAAAATGTCAAAAAAGGTTTACTAACAAATTAATGTTTTGAAATAATTGTGGAGACATTCACAATAACATGTATAAAAACTGCTAAACATATCTTGAATTTCATTATTATTTCTGGACTACCAACTTCCAAACCGAAATCCAAATGTTTTTAACCACTATTTGTGTACACATAACACTAGGTACCTATTTCATACGAAAATCAAAAGCTTCATTACATTTGATGTAAAAGAAAACAATACTGTTATATTGGTACAAGTGAAATGTTGGAATATAATGATTTCTCTTTCCAATTATAATCAACGCTCTTGTTTACCACTATAATATTAGTTTGTATGTACTGTCTGCATACTTTTAATGGCATTTTTATTTAAACAACGCAACGATTGAAGAAAAGTGCAACATGATAAAAAAGATTTGACCTGTTTTGATATTCTAACAACCAAGTGAATTTACATAATTATGCGGCAAATACTGTTATTGAAAGTAATTAGCAAATCCAGACAACCACTTGATCTATTTCGGCAAGACATATTATAATTACAAAAAAAAGATCCTTACCTTTGTCACAACGATCTTCTTATTATAAAACAATGGCCGCAAAATGTGGATCACAACATTATCACCTTAAGAATATCTAGAATGGATGATTTTATATTTTTATTAGAATAAGAAATGTCGACGAAACGATATAATGACGGTGACGGCGCGTTTCAGTGTTGCCAATGAAAATTTTACCCGGCCGTGTAGATTAAAAGGCCGTAGTACTACTTCACATTGCGGCCAGAAAATTTGTTGGCTTCAAAGCCGTAAAACACGGCAATTGTTGTAGCGTTGGCAATACTAGCGCGTTTTGACATTACATTAAAATGTTGCAATAGTTATAAGATTCAGAAATTAACAAATGTTGTTTTTAACTAATTCAATGGTTCCTTCAATATTTTTTTTAACTTAAGAAAATAATTTAATGTTTCATGCTTTGTAAAGTAATAAAAGTTGGAACACTTTTAAAATTCTAAGCAGCTTTTCGAAAATAATCTCTGGACAAATCATAGCCAATTAAAAAAATATTGTTTGTCTATGAATTGCAGTCCTCTATTCTCTATTCTCCTACTTCCGCTGCGACGCGCCGCGCACGACGCTTTGTCGTTTTTCATTTTGCAGAACAGAGTGCATTGAAAACGCCATTTTGAAGAAGTAACCTCTTCTGTGGTTTACTGCAAAAAGTGGTTGTGGTGTTATATTTCGTTTCTAGTGTATCTTAAAACCGCAAAAATTGAGTCGGGTAAGTGGTTTTTACCTGTTTTATTAACTAGATATACTATAAATCGGTGCCAGGACTCTTATGAGCTTATGATGGACGCTGCTGACTCATTTCGTCAAATTGTGTATGCGTTTCAGAAACTAAAATGCCGGGCGCCGGTACTTTCAAAATCTTCGTCGGGAATCTATCCGATAAAACGACGGACGCCGATCTTAGACCGCTATTCGAGAAATACGGTACGGTCGTAGAATGCGATATCGTCAGAAATTACGGTTTCGTGCACATGGAAAACGAGCAAGTCGGCCGCGAAGCAATTCAAAACTTAAACGGCGAGTTAGTACATGGTCAGGCGATTAAAATAGAGGCGGCCAAGAGCCGAAAGGCGCCGTCAACGCCGACCACGAAAATATTCGTCGGTAACCTAACGGACA